AAATACACTTGTCCTTTCTCCAGTAAGTAAATAAGGACAGTGGAAAAACTTACTGCAGATTACACTGCTGGCTATTTGGACTAATGCTTTATTTCTAATAGAGAAATGAGACTCAACTTTCAGAGGTCCTTAAATGCTTTGTAGTACTTAAAACATCTCGCAGCAAAGCAGATGCACAAAGTGTGGCTATTACTGACTAAGTCATTTCTGGGAAATAGGAATTTGCAGTGCCTAAATCTGTATCTCGGTATTTGGTAGCCTAAAAATACCTAGGAAAAAATAATTTTCAGAGGTTACAGAATTCTAGAAGAAAAAAAGGGTTTTGGGATCCTTCCGAATTCCCCTTATATTCTCTGAGGCTTTTCTTGTGGAATAGTTTCTGTTCTTTTCCCTAACAGAAACCCTTCAAAAACCTCTAGTGCTCTTTGGTTTTATATTAAAATAAGTCCTGACATTGTATACATACAAAGTATTTTTCTTGATGTTTACTGAAAGCTGTTACTTAGGATGGTAGTAAAAAAAAAAATAGGGTAGAAACCCCCCCACCACCTTTGGATTAAAGCCCTTTTAATAAAAATAGCATGAGCGGTTTGCAATTTGGGGGGGGGGGGGGGGGGGGTAGTGATTTAATTTGAGCTGTGAAAAATGAAGGCAGTCTTAACATTGGGAGATTTTTGAAAAATCATATTTATTTTTTATAATTTTAATTGTCACTAACTTTTACTAAAGTAAACCAATGATGCCTTCACTATAGAAAGCACTGCAATAAAATAAATAAACAAATTAAATAAATAGCGGAAGGGTTTATCTTACCTTCTTGCCTATTTAGTTTTTTGTTTTTTTGGTTTTTTTTGTTTTTTTTTTTTTTTTTTTTTTTTAGTTAGAGCATCAACAACCTGATTTAAAAGCAGGATCTTACATGCATGCCTCTACAGAAGTGTTCTTTTATCCAGCTCTGTAGCATATAAACATTCACACTCACTACATCCATGGGTACAGATGCATGTGTTTCTTTATACTTGAGCATGCCTTTATGTATGTGCAGTTCTTTTTCTTTACAGAAGTACACTGATGTACTTTCAAGAAGTTTTACCAGTCTGTACTATAATGAACTAGGGAAAGGAAAATAAATCAAGCTGACATGTTGTATTCCTGTTCTGTGCTTGCACATAGCATACCACTTACACCTCTCCCAGAACCAAGCCACTGAAGTTTATCTGAAATGTGCTAGTATCTACATTTGGTGATGGGAACTCGATTCTCCTTGAGAAATTTAAGTGTCTTGCAGAATCCAATTCTGATGACTGAAAGCAATCTAGTTACTTCAAAAATGAGAGGACTGTTTCATTGCTTAACATCCCTTCTCCAGGTATTCCGCTGTGTTTTGAACTCTATAGCTGCAATTTGTAGTATTTTCATTCCTATGAACTAACGTGTAGCAAAGCAGAAGGATGGCTTGTGTCTATCAGTCTGAATGGAGAAAGATAGTTTTACAGGATGAGAAAAAAGCACCTGTATGCTTTCCCTTCCTTCCTGTTCTGTTCTTCATAAAGCTTATTAAGAACATTAGGTTATCAGAGTCAGCACACACAGGGGTTGCTCTAAATGAAAATGTTTTAACACAGATGCAGGTGTCTGACAGCAAATTCTAAATACTCTTCAGCAGCCCTGGGAAGAAAATAGGCGAGGTGTGGAAAAACCTCACCTTGGAGGGACTTCTCAATTCCCTAGCGTTACAACATCTATGACTAAAAAGGCTCATACTAAAGCTATGCAGAACGATTAAAATGGGCAGGATTTGAGCCTTTGGTGTTCCTAGTCAGGAAAGGACAGAAGGCTTTAATCTTCTCTACTGTTTGTCTTAATTGTAGCATTTGGGATTTTTCTCACAGATTTCATAGGCTTGATTAAATATTAACCTTTTAAGACATAATGTTAAACCTCTGTTCTACAAAGAACTATCACTCAATCTTTCATGCAGTTTTTGCAGGATTTTTTTGAGCACTTGAAATTGTTTCTAATTATTTTTATTTTAATTACTGGTGAATAACATTTAAGATAAAACTATTGCTACTTTTCCTTTTGTGTATTTTATTTGCCTCAGTGGTAACAGTGTTTAACCTCAGCATGTGATAATCCTCCATATGTCATGAACATATGCTGCATTTATAACATTTCAGACAAATATAGTACACCTAAGTCCTAGCAGCTTCCTAAAACCCTTGGAGATTCAAGCTACTACTTACCATGCTACAGCTAGAGATATGCTAGAGTATGTTGGGTCTACAAAGCCAGCCTTATGAGATGGAGGTGAAAGAGGTGTATGGGAATGATATTTGTTGTTGATACATACATTCTTGGAAAAGAATCAGTAAGCCTAAAAGTTACAGTAAAAGGACAGGAGGTTGGGGGAAGGAACTTAAATAAGAAAGACAGTTTGATTTTTTTTTTTTTTTTTTTTTTTTTGTTACCTCATACTGGTGACTCAACTGGTATAAATTAATGTGATTGCTGAAATCAATTGAGATATGTCTGTTCGTATCATTTGAGAATTGTTCTTGTTTGTTACAGCTGTTTAAATAAGCCTGTGAAGTAAGTCAGGTGGTTTGGTCTCACTCTTTCCCTCTCTGCTGTCCCAGGATCTGTGGAGCTATGTACTTACGTAGTCCAGCTCTATTGTAAGTGTGACTAGTGTAAGTGTGGTTGAAGAGTGGGGGGGAGGGAAACAACACAATGCAAAAAACACAAGAGTTTAACAAGAGTTAAAGTATGGACTTCAGAACATCCAGGAAGTCACAGCAGAAACTAGGTGAGTGTGTGGACCTAACTTTGTTTAGAGTGGGATAACAGGTCTCTTGAGCCACAGAAGTAAACTGCGATTGCCAGGTTGTTATGCAGAGAATGAGGCACTGCGATTGTTGTCAGTGTTTGTTTTGCAGGGTGATCTTTCCCAAATTAAAAAAAAAAAAAAATGAAGCAAAAGAAAATGAACATTTAAAAAAAGGTGGGGGGGGGGAAGGGGGAGGGAGGAAGAGTAGGGGGAAGAAAGGAAGGGAGGAAGGAAGTTCAGGGGAGTAAGAGTAAAAAGAAATTGCATTGTCCATCAAATAAAATATTCTCGTTTGCACTCGCTCACTGTGTTCTGCAAGTCAATGTCAGCTTTAAAAGAGCTCTCAAGATTTTCTGGGTATTCCTTCTCCTTTGTTTGGCTACTTCGATGTGCCTGTTTGTGCTGATAGAGGAATCTGCTCATGATGGCGATGATGCAAAAGATGATGAATATCACAACTGCTATTACACCTGAGGAGAGGTGGGGAAAAAAAAAAAGGGAAGGGTAGAAAGGGTAAAATGCAGAAATAAAGACTCAGTTATGTAAAAAATACATTACTGGTGCATTTCAGTTTCAACGATATGATAGAACAATGAATCTTTGTACTCAGTCTTCTGTCTCTGTTGTGCTCTTCTTGATTAGCTGTATTTGGATTTTTATCTACTTGGGTGACATGGACAGTGAGCACTGATATAATTGACCTTCTGATTTGGATCAACTTCTGACTTCACTAGAAGCAAAGTTGGATCAGTGTTTGTTTATAAAAACAAAACTAGATACGTATGTTCAAACAAATCCCTGCTCTGTCGTATTTTCTCCTTTCAGAGATAACATAGTTGGCATGAGCCTTGTACAATTAGATTTATAGCTTCTAGATTATTTTATAGGATGCCCTGTAGGGAGCTGCCTTCAATAATAAACAGAGATGAATTGCCTTCCTGGTTGTTAAAGGAAGATGAAAACCCTACATAAAGCTATAAAGACAACTTTCCTTATCTATATAGATGCTTCCATACAATCTAGCAAGCTCTTCCATAACACCAACTCACAGAGTGCTCAAGGAGTAGAGGATGCGTGAGTAAGGTGTTGAGGCTCTCATCGGTGTGGTGCGCAAAGCAGTTACTGATTAATGTGGTGGATACCCACTATTGCCTTAGTTGAAAGTGTATATTCCTACATAGGTAGCTTAGTTATAGGTATGTACCAAGAAAATAATGGAAGTGCATTAGGTAAAAGTGTTTTATCATCTAACAATTACTTTTCAATTGTAATAGTCAAAAGTTGTTACCTCCAATCACAGCAGAATCACTTCTGACAGCATTGGTGAGAGGCTCTCTTTCGTCTGTCTTCCCAAATGGATCTATTGGTTAAATGGAATAAGATGAATTATTTCTATCAACTATTTCATTTTTTTTTTTTTTATGTGGCTTAGAGAGAAGTGTCCTCTTAATCTTGTGAATTGTAACTTTTTTAGGAAGATGTCATTTGGGGTTTTGGAAAATTAAACCGAAAATGTCTCTAAGCTTGCGAGACAAATTTCTCCTACATCTTCACTGATAAAGATGTATTTAAGAAAAAATGGAAAAGCTTACAACTACTCTAACACCTGAAAGTGTTTTTTCAGTGTATCTGTAGTGAAATCACTGATAGAAATTTGAGCTAAATAGCACGTTGGGAGCTTTACTCGTAGTTCTTTTTTTTTTTTTTTTTTTAATACCTAAGAAAAGATACCAAAAGAAGGGAAATATGGGAATGCTGTAACTCTGACCTATATTTGTAGATGAACATATACAAGTCAAATTAAACCTTATAAAGAGGGGAGATATTTTCAGTGTTACCGTCCATTTTGTATTTGCGGTGCATGTTTCTGGTGTGCTTCATAGCAGACAATTCAGACTCCTTTGGGTGGAGGGAAGAAAGCTAGAGGTGGGAGTCGGCACATAAGCAGTGCGCTCAGAGTAATCAGCAGCCTCTGATGCAAAAGAGCATCATTTGTTTTCTGTTAAATATCTTAATTAGAAGCTGCAGGAAAATGAGATTTGATGCAAGTCCAAATGTAAAAGGAATCGTGATAGGATATGAGCTTATAATAGTTCTCAGAAGACAAAGAGGCTTTGGTGGTCAAGGGGCAAAAACCATCTGTTAATTTGTACCCATTTCTGGTTGTTAGGATCCTTGCTGCATCTGCTGCAGACTGAAGTGGCAACTCAATTACCCCTGCCAGTGGTGAGGATGCTCCCAGCTGCTCTGAGTCTCCTTGACTGCATAAAATTCATGTATGTAAAATATTTCAGAGGACGGTCTCGGGATTGAAAGACACATGCAAACTGTTGGAATCACCTTACTGATAACACTCCGCGCTGTTGCTTCTCTTTTGCCTGAGAGAATCAAGTAGTGATTTTAGTGGATGTCATACATATCTGTCAAGGGGTTTGTACAAAGGTTTTTTTTTTTTTCCTCCTTTCTGCTAGAGCAGAAACAGATTTGATTGTTATAAGATGCCTATGGCTGATCGCCACTGGGATATGAAATCTGTGTGATGTTTATGTTTTCCTTTCAGATCTGCAGCACTGGAGCTACCTAGAGTGGATGGGAACGACCAATGAGGCACATAACCATACTTCAGATGCTGTGAATGCTATGACAGGTTTTCTATTCGCTTTAAAGAAAATGTGGTAAATGTCTTTCTAAAGCAGCACTGGCTAATCTTAATGCCCATTCTTAACACTTTAAATTCTTAGAGACAAAGTAACTTAGCGGTTCCAGTGTTTATAACATTCTCACAAGTGCATTACAGTAAAAATGAAGGGAACATTGCACTCCAGTATTCTTTTAAATTCCTTTTTTCCTTTTGGCAGGACGTACCTGAAGAGGAGTATATGGTGGTTGCTGTGTTCACATCTGCTTCCGTTAGGGATGAGCAGCTGGATTCGGTCAAGGAACCCTTGACCGTCACGGGAGCAATGCTGGGATGGCGTAAGGCAGCTTTCAGGGGAGCGATGTGGTTATACCAAACAGAAGACATGCAGCCAGTGAAACCGTAGACATTTGCCTTTGAGACTTCAGGGTCCAGTGCTAAACTGTCTGCGACACAACAGAAAAACAGTCTGGAGATTGTCAGTTTGAGGAAGACAGGTTAAAAAAATTATTAATTATTTTATTGTATTGACTGCTTTATTTCATTTAATCTCAAGTGGTTGTTTAGGTGTTCCCTTAGCTTACTATCAAGATGGCTTGAACAGCAGACTGCGTTACATTTCTTTTCTTATCCCTTTCTTCTATTGTTTTGACAGTACGTAACACATAGTGGATGTGAATCACTACAGTAGTAGCAATTAAAAAATAGTAGTAAACAGTAAAAAGAAAAACAATGAACATCACGGAATCGGTGAGATGATCCTTTTCAGCTTTTGGATTACTCTCTATTGTCTATTAAACATCACTTTATCTGGCTCAGTATTAAATAGCTTACTAATATAGCCTTCCACCCTTCTCTGGGTGTCTATTCTTTAACTTACTTTTGCAGTCCACCTAATCATGTCAGTAGCATTGGCATTTGTTATTTTTATAGTCTGAGTTGTTAAGAATCATTCAAGTTACGAGTTTGGCTGTCATAACAGTCGTTAGCCCTATTGCACTGAGACAAAAAAATTGAAAACTATACTTGGTTTACTCTGCATCCAAAGCCAAACTAGTGCCTCTGTACTCTCCAAAGATGAGATGGTAGAATTAATGTGTGTGTCTGCATTTACTTAAATTTCACAAATATGAAGTAAGCTCAAAAGCAGGCCTTCTTTATTTGGTTACTTTACTTAATATCAAAGGTTCTCTTTTTAAGCTTGTGAAGGACAGCAAAGCCATCATCCCTTTCCCTGAAGCTTTTATTTACTTGGCAGAAATACAAATTTGTATTGTTAAGAGGTCAACAGAACAAGCACAAGTGGCTTGCTTTTAGTTTTTTTTTTTTCCTCTTTTCTCTTTTAATTGACTTTGATACAAGACAAAACCTAGATGTGTTCAAAAACAGTATCAGTAGTTCTTCAGAACTGTAGAAACTACCTGCTGTGGAAAGTACTCCAGCACTGAAAACTCCGGACGTAAGTAGTTCCGACAATGCTGGAAAACAAGGATTCTCAGCTTTTCAAGTTTATTTTCATTGCTTGAAAGATAATGATGTTAAACGTTAAAATGGACTCCAGTTTTTCTACTATCAAACTTTCAGCCAAAGGAATTTAGGAACAAAGTAGGGTGCCTCTTTGATCTTTGAAACTGATTTTGCCACCTGAGTAACAAAGACATCTTTTATGTGTAAAACCATACTAAGCCATCTGAACTTTGGCACTTAGGATCTGTGTCCATGATGTCATGCAGCCAGAGGGAACAAGAAAAGTCTATTAAGTTAGAAGACTAAATACTCTGATGGATGGATGAACTACTGCTGCCAGAGGAGTTAAGAGGACAATCTCTGGGCTGGGAATGACCGAACAACTGCCAGAGAGATGTGAAGGTAAGTAGTAAGACTTGGACACTGAAAAAACCCTGTAGCATTCAGGTTTTTAATGAGATTCTGGTGGAGGTCCTAAGAAGCAGACAAGGGTCCAAGTTTCTGCATGAAGGTTTATAGAAAATAGTTTTTTTTGTAGTATTTGTCATCATTGTTAAATTAACAAAAACCTTTTTGTTGTATACTGATGTTTTGTGTGTAAACATCAGTACTGTCAGCACTTACTATTTTATTAACTTGGACACAAACAGTGGATGTGTTGGTGTCTTTCAGGCATCAGGCAATCTAAATGGTTCTGTTTTGTCCCAATGTGCAAAAGGTAAAATAAAGTATTGAATTATTTTTTTTTTTTATGGTACCATAGCTTGAAAAGTCCAGGAGTACTGTTGAAGACTTATTCATAAAAGAAAGTCAATTTATGGGCAAATTATTATAGTCTGTTGTTGAACTATTCTTTGCACGAATGAGAAAGAGGTGATTTGTTAGAAGGTTTTGAAATTAGGGTTTTTAAAAAAAAAAAAAAAAAATCTAAGGAAAAAACTGACAAAAACACCGGAGGCTTCTGGTAAAAATTCCATGTATGCAGATAGGGGTTTCTGAGACATCAGGTCTTTATCTGCAGTCAACAAGACTCCTATAGGACTTGGAGGCAAATGGTATCAGGTGCTTTATGAATCCTTGTGTGGATAATGTATGTCGGAGATGATAACAGGATGTAACTGTGTTAAGTTAAATGACTTGTGTACAGAGGAGTGGGATTGTGAGAAAAGTAATTGTGCTTTTGTGGAATTGAACTGTTCATCCCTCAAAACATAGTTCTTTGTATTTCTGAGGAAAAAAATTACTCTTCCTCTTCATTAGGTACACTGTAAGCTTGATCAAGAAGTAGGGTACCAGATATGAAATGTACTTCAGAAATAGCTCTGAATCAGGAAAGGACAATGAGAAGGAACTGAAAGTATTTGTTCTCATGTTTTCCCAGGAATGGAAAGAATATTACAGGATTTCCTTGCAAACAACTGAAAAAAGAGTGCCAAGAGGAAAGATTTGAGATAATGATTTCATTGGCCTGAGAGAAGATAATTTTGGTCACGCAATTGGTATGGTATCAAAAAGACAGCTTGTCACAGAAGAAGAAATTTCACCTTGGATTACACTGTGAAATTCATGATGTGAAAGTTTGGAATGTAGGAAATAAAATCAGTCTCAACATTGCCAGCCCTACATGGTTCTGCATGAGCTTGAAATGTAACATATTGGGGAAAAAAAAAAGGAATGGGGAAAAAAAACACGGGCCTTGGATTGCATGAAGCGGTTGTGTTATTGTAGCCTGGTTATTTTCAGTAGAGTAAACTAGCTCCTAAAACACTCTGAAATAGCTGCAAGGATTATGTGTAAAATACTGCTCCACGGAACCATGCTGGGCTGTGCAGAGACATATAAGTGAAACACCGATAGCTGGAGAATGTCTGCCTCCAAGTCGGTCTCACAAAAGCAGCCTGACACCGAAGCTTCCCAGTAAGACCAAAGAGTAAATGGTGGACTGCCACGAGCATGGGTGTAAAAGGGTAAGATTACAGGTATTGCCACAGAAGAAAAGTACATGATGAAATGGACAGCAGAGTGAGACAGCACAGAAGAGCTCTGAAGAAAAGAAACTGAATAAATGAAAAGAAACAGATGGTGTTGGAGTCTCCATCTCATCTCGTCTCGTCTCGTCTCGTCTCGTCTCGTCTCGTCTCGTCTCGTCTCGTCTCGTCTCGTCTCGTCTCGTCTCGTCTCGTCTCGTCTCGTCTCGTCTCGTCTCGTCTCGTCTCGTCTCGTCTCGTCTCGTCTCGTCTCGTCTCGTCTCGTCTCGTCTCGTCTCGTCTCGTCTCGTCTCGTCTCGTCTCGTCTCGTCTCATCTCTCTCATCTCATCTCTCATCTCTCATCTCATCTATCTCATCTCATCTCTCAATCCCATCCCATCCCATCCCATCCCCCCATCCCCCCATCCCCCCATCCCCCCATCCCCCCATCCCCCCATCCCCCCATCCCCCCATCCCCCCATCCCCCCATCCCCCCATCCCCCCATCATCCCATCATCCCATCCCCCCATCATCCCATCATCCCATCATCCCATCATCCCATCATCCCATCATCCCATCATCCCATCATCCCATCATCCCATCATCCCATCATCCCATCATCCCATCATCCCATCCTCCCATCCTCCCATCATCTCATCTCATCTCATCTCATCTCATCTCATCTCATCTCATCTCATCTCATCTCATCTCATCTCATCTCATCTCATCTCATCTCATCTCATCTCATCTCATCTCATCTCATCTCATCTCATCTCATCTCATCTCATCATCCCATCATCTCATCTCATCTCATCTCATCTCATCTCATCATCCCATCATCTCATCATCCCATCATCTCATCTCATCTCATCTCATCTCATCATCCCATCATCTCATCTCATCTCATCTCATCTCATCATCCCATCATCTCATCTCATCTCATCTCATCTCATCATCCCATCATCTCATCTCATCTCATCTCATCTCATCTCATCATCTCATCTCATCTCATCTCATCTCATCTCATCTCATCATCCCATCATCTCATCTCATCTCATCATCCCATCATCTCATCTCATCTCATCTCATCTCATCTCATCATCTCATCTCATCTCATCTCATCTCATCTCATCATCCCATCATCTCATCTCATCTCATCATCCCATCATCTCATCTCATCTCATCTCATCTCATCATCCCATCATCTCATCTCATCTCATCTCATCTCATCATCCCATCATCTCATCTCATCATCCCATCATCTCATCCCATCATCCCATCATCCCATCATCCCATCATCCCATCCCATCATCCCATCATCCCATCATCCCATCCCATCATCCCATCATCCCATCCCATCATCCCATCATCCCATCCCATCATCCCATCATCCCATCCCATCATCCCATCATCCCATCCCATCATCCCATCATCCCATCATCCCATCCCATCATCCCATCATCTCATCCCATCATCCCATCATCCCATCATCTCATCCCATCATCCCATCATCCCATCATCCCATCATCCCATCATCTCATCCCATCATCTCATCCCATCATCCCATCATCCCATCATCCCATCCCATCATCCCATCATCTCATCCCATCATCCCATCATCCCATCATCCCATCATCTCATCCCATCATCTCATCCCATCATCCCATCATCCCATCATCTCATCCCATCATCCCATCATCCCATCATCCCATCATCCCATCATCCCATCATCCCATCATCCCATCATCCCATCATCCCATCATCCCATCATCCCATCATCCCATCATCTCATCCCATCATCCCATCATCCCATCATCTCATCTCATCATCCCATCATCCCATCATCTCATCTCATCATCCCATCATCTCATCTCATCATCCCATCATCCCATCATCTCATCTCATCATCCCATCATCCCATCATCTCATCTCATCATCCCATCATCCCATCATCTCATCTCATCATCCCATCATCCCATCATCTCATCTCATCATCCCATCATCCCATCATCTCATCTCATCATCCCATCATCTCATCTCATCATCTCATCTCATCTCATCTCATCTCATCTCATCATCCCATCATCTCATCTCATCTCATCTCATCTCATCTCATCTCATCATCCCATCATCTCATCTCATCTCATCTCATCTCATCATCCCATCATCTCATCTCATCTCATCTCATCTCATCATCCCATCATCTCATCTCATCTCATCTCATCTCATCTCATCATCCCATCATCTCATCTCATCTCATCTCATCTCATCTCATCATCCCATCATCTCATCTCATCTCATCTCATCTCATCTCATCTCATCATCCCATCATCTCATCTCATCTCATCTCATCTCATCTCATCTCATCATCCCATCATCTCATCTCATCTCATCTCATCTCATCTCATCATCCCATCATCTCATCTCATCTCATCTCATCTCATCTCATCTCATCATCCCATCATCTCATCTCATCTCATCTCATCTCATCTCATCATCCCATCATCTCATCTCATCTCATCTCATCTCATCTCATCTCATCATCCCATCATCTCATCTCATCTCATCTCATCTCATCTCATCTCATCATCCCATCATCTCATCTCATCTCATCTCATCTCATCTCATCATCCCATCATCTCATCTCATCTCATCTCATCTCATCTCATCTCATCATCCCATCATCTCATCTCATCTCATCTCATCTCATCTCATCTCATCATCCCATCATCTCATCTCATCTCATCTCATCTCATCTCATCTCATCATCCCATCATCTCATCTCATCTCATCTCATCTCATCTCATCATCCCATCATCTCATCTCATCTCATCTCATCTCATCTCATCTCATCATCCCATCATCTCATCTCATCTCATCTCATCTCATCTCATCATCCCATCATCTCATCTCATCTCATCTCATCTCATCTCATCTCATCTCATCTCATCATCCCATCATCTCATCTCATCATCCCATCATCTCATCTCATCTCATCATCCCATCATCTCATCTCATCTCATCTCATCATCCCATCATCTCATCTCAATCTCAATCTCATCTCATCTCAATCTCAATCTCAATCTCAATCTCAATCTCAATCTCAATCTCAATCTCAATCTCAATCTCAATCTCAATCTCATCTCAATCTCATCTCATCTCATCATCCCATCATCTCATCTCAATCTCAATCTCATCTCATCTCAATCTCAATCTCAATCTCAATCTCATCATCCCATCATCTCATCTCAATCTCAATCTCATCATCCCATCATCTCATCTCATCTCATCTCATCTCATCATCCCATCATCTCATCTCAATCTCAATCTCATCTCATCTCAATCTCAATCTCAATCTCATCATCCCATCATCTCATCTCAATCTCAATCTCATCATCCCATCATCTCATCTCAATCTCAATCTCATCATCCCATCATCTCATCTCATCTCATCTCATCTCATCTCATCATCCCATCATCTCATCTCAATCTCAATCTCATCTCATCTCAATCTCAATCTCAATCTCAATCTCATCATCCCATCATCTCATCTCAATCTCAATCTCATCATCCCATCATCTCATCTCAATCTCAATCTCATCATCCCATCATCTCATCTCATCTCATCTCATCTCATCTCATCATCCCATCATCTCATCTCAATCTCAATCTCATCATCCCATCATCTCATCTCATCTCATCTCATCTCATCTCATCATCCCATCATCTCATCTCAATCTCAATCTCATCATCCCATCATCTCATCTCATCTCATCTCATCTCATCTCATCATCCCATCATCTCATCTCATCTCATCTCATCTCAATCTCATCATCCCATCATCTCATCTCATCTCATCTCATCTCATCTCAATCTCATCATCCCATCATCTCATCTCATCTCAATCTCATCATCCCATCTCATCATCCCATCTCATCATCCCATCTCATCATCCCATCTCATCATCCCATCTCAATCTCATCTCATCTCATCATCCCATCTCATCATCCCATCTCATCATCCCATCTCATCTCAATCTCATCTCAATCTCATCATCCCATCTCATCATCCCATCTCATCTCAATCATCTCATCTCAATCTCATCATCCCATCTCATCATCCCATCTCATCTCAATCTCATCTCAATCTCATCTCAATCTCATCATCCCATCTCATCATCCCATCTCATCTCAATCTCATCATCCCATCTCATCATCCCATCTCATCTCAATCTCATCTCAATCTCATCATCCCATCTATCTCATCATCCCATCTCATCTCATCTCAATCTCATCTCAATCTCATCATCCCATCTCATCATCCCATCTCATCTCAATCTCATCATCCCATCTCATCATCCCATCTCATCATCCCATCTCATCTCAATCTCATCATCCCATCTCATCATCCCATCTCATCATCCCATCTCATCTCAATCTCATCATCCCATCTCATCATCCCATCTCATCATCCCATCTCATCTCAATCTCATCATCCCATCTCATCATCCCATCTCATCATCCCATCTCATCATCCCATCTCATCTCAATCTCATCATCCCATCTCATCATCCCATCTCATCTCAATCTCATCTCAATCTCATCATCCCATCTCATCATCCCATCTCATCTCAATCTCATCTCAATCTCATCATCCCATCTCATCTCAATCTCATCTCATCTCATCTCATCTCAATCTCATCTCAATCTCATCTCATCTCATCTCATCTCAATCTCATCTCAATCTCATCTCATCTCATCTCATCTCAATCTCATCATCCCATCATCTCATCTCATCTCATCTCATCTCATCTCAATCTCATCATCCCATCATCTCATCTCATCTCATCTCATCTCATCTCATCTCAATCTCATCATCCCATCATCTCATCTCATCTCATCTCATCTCATCCCATCATCCCATCCCATCTCATCTCATCTCATCCCATCATCCCATCTCATCTCATCTCATCTCATCTCATCCCATCATCCC